CAAATTACAGAAGCAGTCTTCACCTATTCCTTGGTAATGAAGTGCCATAGTGTACTTCTAAAGGCACCAAAGCCCACATAAACTGTACTTCTCAATACTGCAAAATATAGAAAGGCTGCTTAGAAACATACTGGTTTTATATCTAACACACTACCTGTTAATACAGACTTTATTTCCAAATGTAATTACACAACATGTAACTCAAACTAAAATACATATCTCTCCTTAATAACTCTCTGTCATCTTTGGATGTTAGTTCAAACAGATATACTCAAATAAAGTGTGACTTTTATTTGAGTTAACAGCATCCCTTTAAACCACAGACTGCTCTTGAAATTAGGGGCTATGACAGCCACTTTAGTCAAGACACAGAGAAATAAAACAGCTCAGCCAAGACGTGGCAGTCAGAATTACTATTTGCAAGTTCCAGTGATCTATGGTTTTCCTCCCATTGTCACAATGTAACTTGTGATGCACATAATATTCCAGTTTCCATTTGCTAAACAGTCACCCATTTTAATACTTTTCTATTAGGAATACATATAAGTGTACATCTTTCTTTGTATTTTTGTGGAATTATAGTCTTCCCTAATGATAAAAAATCAGTAAATTGAATAACTGCAGCTACTGAAATTCAGGAGACACTCTCTGCGCTAAATGGGACAGAACACTTGAAAATGGAGTTATTTTTCATCAATCTTAATGATTAGTAAGGCAGCAGTAACTAGAAGAGAGTCCTTTTATGTTTCTATTTGACAAGAAAGGTGAAGTGAAAAAGAATAATGTGCTAGCACTTCACCTTCTCCAGTCTTCCTTGCTTTAACACACTGTAACACAAAAATCATTCCTCTCCTTGTGTCAACGGTTTCAAGACCAGAGGCACACTGATGTCATGTTCCTGGCTCTGGAAGGTTCCCAGTGATGGATATTATGGGGATGCTTCAGCTGTGAAAACAGATCATCTCCTTCCAGTACCCCCAAAGCCCTGAATCGCAAATGCTGGAGAACATTTGGTTACATAATGTCAACAGATTTTAAGAACTACCAGGTAACTAATATCCATCAACAGCTGGATACAGTTCAATCGAGTGACCTGTAGGTGGATCTAAGGAGGTACATTCTCAATGCCGAATTCTTTCTAATGACTTCAGACTCTGTCACAGCCTGATAACAACACTAAACACAGTGCTTGTCTGATGCCATCAGTCATGCAAGCTGCTCAGCAGTGCAATGTTTCGCAGACACTGAAAAGTACAGCTTTTGTTTTGCTGGGCAACTGCTACCCTAAGTGGATTATACAATTACCGAGGAAAAGGTTTGTTGAACTACAGCTATGATACATGTCTCTGATAGAACAGTTAATCTTTCTGTCCTATGAGTGACAGCAAGCAGAAATTCAGACATTTTCATAGCTGACACACTTTCTAGGACAAACATTTCTGAAAACATTAAATAACATCTGCATTCCTTCTCCAAAAGTTAAAGCCAAGGCCTGCTTATTTTAATAACCCTCTAAAGTACATCTCAGGAAAAGGAGACAGAAATTCTGCATTACTTTTGAAGACCTGCACACTCTGCAGTGTCTCAATTACCTCCATCAGAACTCATGCTTCACACCAAAGCTTTTCACTCAATACAGTGCTATACCTTAACAGGCAGGTTTCTGAAGAAGCACCTTTAGAAGACAACAAGGATTACTGGCCACAGGCATTTCTCACTGCCCTCTGCAGCTGAGTAACTTCACCTGAGACAAACATGTCATTCTGAACAGTACTATACCACAGTTCTATAAAAACAGAACCACCTGGGTTCATACAGCCACAGGTCTTCCCAGGTCCTCCCCATCTTGTTCCCTTTCAGGAGCTGCCCATGACCTATGAATATTTAAGACTCTTGAGTCTTCCTCTATTTGTAAGGAAATTACTGTAAAGGTGTAAATACGCACCTATCCCACATGTCAAAGAACAAAAAAGGGACCATTAAGACAGAAAAGACAAAGTAATCAAAAGACAGGAGGCAAAACACAAGTGTTTTAACCACAAGTCAGCATCAATCCATCATCATGGAGAGCAAAAATAACACTCACGAAAATCACAGATAAGGATATAACAGTTATTCAGCATGTACTCATACCTAACAACCCACCAAACATGATCTACATAGAATAATCATAAGAAGCTGCATAATAGAAACATCAACACTTTACATAAAAGAAAAATGAGCACTATACACAAACTACTCCAGATCCATTTCAGTATTCCCGGCCATGAAGAGCAATGCTTCAGGATTACAATGACAGTAGGATTCCGGAGGGTGGCTATCTTATCAAAGGCACCCTGCTAATACTAGTATTACTTCACTTCTTCATGCTTTTCGTCTTCAAGATATTTTTCAAAAGCAAGCTTATTTTCACAAACTGCTTTATAACGTCTGTCTCTTATTTTACAGATGGGAGAACAAAGTGACCAAAGACACTAAAGCATTTGTGCAAACCCTTGGAAGATAACAGTAAAACCTCTCCCCACCGCTTTTCTCATTAACAGCTGTCTATGAGGTGACTTTACAGAGTTCCGCCCAGTGTCAGCGTGGGAGGAGAATGAAGCTTCACATTTAAACAGCTCCTGAGAAGTGTAACAATAAGGCCACAGCCAGAAGAGGCGCAAACCGTGCGGGCAGAAGGGCAGCGTGAAGACCAGTCAGAAGGGTCCCGAAGTGCGGGACACAAGCGGGAACAGGCTGCAGGGAACCCGGCTGCTGGGCGGACACAGCTCAGATTCGCCGCTGCTCCTTTCCAACTCTTTCTGGTCTTCCCACTGCCCCACGCAGGGGTAAGGCACATCGGAGCAGCCCTTGCTCTGCTCTTCCAAGAAGCTGTTTCTGACTCTACCATCCCACGGAGCGGTACGGGAGCTGGCTGCGCCGCCTGAACCTTACAGAACGTCCTCTTCCCCCTACCGCTTCCTCCCGGGCACACGGGAGCTCTCGCGACCCTCCACAGGGCCAGCGAAGGCAGGGACAGCCCAGCGCGGGACCCACCGACCCCCGGTTGCCGGCCGGGCTTCCCGCTCCCCGCCCTTACCTGCCCGTCATGGCGGCGCGCTCCCGGCCGGCGCCGGGCCGTGGCGGAGAGGCTGCGGGGCGGCACACGCGGCTCGGCGCGGCGACACCAGTCCCAGCGAGCCCTGGCGGGCAGCGCAAACCCCGCCCCGGCCCGGCGGTAGCGGCGGCCCGGGCCCCTGGGTGTGGGCGGGAGCCGCGGCCACCGGTGACTCAGGGCAGCCCCCCCGGCCCCGCGCATACTTTTCCTATAAAGGGAAAGTTCGGGAGTGGCGGGGAGCCGGCGGCCCCGGGGCACGGCGCTGCCCCACCGCCGCTTCGTGCCGCCCGACAGTAACCGCCTCGGGTGCTACTGTGAGCCCGGAGGGAGAAGGTAAACGCGTTGTCACAGAGCCGCTACCTGGTGTACAGTTATATCTGACATACACCTCACTGACATGACTTCATTTTCCTATAAACAAAGAACTACGCTTCCTCCCAGCCACTACAGACTATTACACTCATGGCACATCCTCAACGCAAGGGGAAAACATCTTTGCAGTGTGCTTTACTGTCAGGGCAGCAGAAGATGCAGCCTGGAAGGCTGTATTGTAGAAAGCAGTTAGATGATACCCTTTGCTGGCAAAGAGGGGTCCTGCTCCCAAAGACACCTCCAGGTGCAATGTTTCTGAAAACATCCGGCACAGGGTGCCCAGAGAAGCTGTGGCTGCCCCATCCTTGGCAGTGTTCAAGGCCAAGTTGGACACAGGGGCTTGGAACAACCCCGCTCTAGTGAAAGGTGTCCCTGTCCCTGGCAGGGGGTTGAAACTGGGTGAGCATTAAGATTCCTTCTAACCCAAACCATTCTATGATCCAATCCAGTCTTGCCAACCATTAAACTTTGTCCTGAGCACGTAGAGAGTGCTATGCCCTCTGACTTGTATCAATGTACCAATGCTAAATTGATCCCCCAAATGGGGCAGGCAGCTTGTGGCCAACAGCGATTTCAGACTTTATCTGCATCTTGTGAGGCAGCCGAATACACTGTGACTCACCATTGCTATGGATAGTGCTGCACACTGATGATGGAAACTGTGCTGGCTGTTTCCTGCTGTCCAAACAACTCATTTTTTTCAGCCCTGCAGTGAACATTTAGAATCATAAAGGTTAAATTAGCATTTGATGGTTTTATTTATTACTTTTTTTAAACCAGGGTGAAGAATCGGACGTTCTTATTTTGGTGTAACAGTTGGTTGAGGACAGAATAGTAGTTAGTGTTATTAATGAACAGCCAATGAGTTAACAGGTTTGGCTGAGCACACAGGGGTACAAGACAAGCTCTTGGTCATTCTCGAAGTCTCCAGCCCCACTGGGATGGTTCCTACATGTAATGTCTCTGCTCTTGCAGCTCTCCTTCAGAGAGGCAGAGACCTAGGGTTAGACGTGAGAAGACTGCAGGTGCCAACCTTGGGGGAACACGGCGCTGGGCAGCGCTCGGCCTCCGGGACTGCTGTGTCCCACGGAGCAGCCTGTGGGCTCCATCAACCTCAGATACCACCTTCCTCTTACCCATCTACGTTTTGAACGTGACGCCATCTTCTTCCCTGCTGAAGAGACCATGAGGTGCTGCAGGTCACAGCTGCCAAGCTCTTCCAGTGGCTCCATGCGGAGCGGCTGAGGGCTCTACCTGCATGTATGTATGCATGTATGTATGCATGTATGTATGCATGTATGTATGCATGTATGTATGCATGTATGTACGTACCCGCCCCAGTCCCAGCACCCCCTGCCCGGCGAACCCCACCACTCCTCCTCTCAGACATCTCTTTTAAAGGACACCTCCTTCACCGGCCGCACCTGCCCAAAAGCAGCGGCCACCTCCCGCAGCCCAGCCCAGCCCCGCGCCGCCGGCACTGAGGGACCCGAGGGCGCGCCCCCGCCGCCTCAGCCTTCCGCGCACGCGCGCCGCCCCGGTAACCCGGATGCGGCTGCTCCGCAAGATGGCCGCGGGGCGGTTAGGCTGGTCGCCGTAGCGCCGTGGAGCGGTGCCGGGCCTCGCCATGGCGGACCTGGGCCGGCAGCTGCAGGAGTACCTGGCGCAGTCAAAGGCCACGGCCAACGCGGGCCCTGCGCCGCCTCCCGCCGGCTGCTCGCAGGAGGAGGCAGTGGGGAGTGGCGGCCTGGGGGCCTGGCTGGGCCAGGTGAACCCCTTCTCGCCGGGCCGCGGCGCCCCACCTGCGGCGGCCGGGCCGGGCTCGGGCTGGCCATGGGCCGCCGAGGCGGACCCCTGCCTGCCGGGGCTGTCGCGCTGGCAGCGGCTGGCGGGGAGCGGGCTGTGCCTGCTGCTGGCCGCGCTCTGCTTCGGGCTGGCCGCGCTGTACGTGCCGCTGCTGCTTCTCCGCGCCCGCAAGTTCGCGCTGCTCTGGTCGCTCGGCTCGCTCTGCGCCCTGGGCGCCGCCGCCCTCCTGCGCGGGCCCGCCCGCCTGCTGCGGGAGCCTAGCCGCGGCTCCCTGCTCTACCTGGGCGCCCTCGGCGGCACCCTCTACGCGGCGCTGGCGCTGCGCAGCACCCTCCTGACGGCGCTGGGCGCCGCGGCCCAGCTGGGCGCCGCCGCCGCCGCGCTCCTGGCCGCGCTGCCCGGGGGCGCCGCCGGCCTCGGC